AATTTTAATTTGAAAGGCAGAGTAACACTGTTCTTCCTTCTTAACATCAAATAATATAAACTGAAAGACAAAATAAATAAAAACTGTATTTTTGATATATCTACATTTTGTCTAGTAGCATATATTCAGTACCACTTTTTAAAGTAGGTTTATATTCTTTTATCAGCTCAGAAGGACTGGAATTCAAGAACCCACAGAAAATTCTCTTTCTTCCAAGCCAAGAGCACCAAGAACTACTCCCTCTCTTCAGCTGAATAAAACAAAAAATGCAGAACATGATGGTAAGATAATTTTGGTGGGTTTTGTTTGTGAAGAAATTATTAAACACTCTTGTCTCAAGAACCAGTTCTACAGGTCATCAAAGAAGGAGGTACCTTTCTCTGAAGGGAGGAGAGAACTTCCACTTTGACTATGACCTTGTCTAAATACGATCAGAGTCGGTGAACTCAAAAGGCTCCCATAGCCTGTTGAAATCTTTACTTAATATATACTAAACTGATACTCTGTATATAAAGAGAATTGAAAATGAATCTTGATGTGAATGGAAGGGGAGAGGGAGCGGGAAAGGGGAGTGTTGCGGGTGGGAGGGAAGTTATGGGGGGGGGGGGAGCCATTGTAATCCATAAGCTGTACTTTGGAAATTTATATTCATTAAATAAAAGTTAAAAAAAAAAAGAACCAGTTCTAGATGGAATGAGAATGAAGAGACACATCCAACAAATACAAAATTCTAAAGAAGCATTCTTAATACAATTAAGGATATTAATATGGACTTTATACAATTATTAATTTTCTTATATGGAAGAGATATATATGGAATATATATGGAATATAATGGAAGAGAATAACATCTCCTTGAAGAGACATATGCTGGAATATTTAGCGGAATAAGGGTCATGAAGTTTGCAATTTACTTTTAAATAGCACAACAAGATACATGTTTGTATAGGTATATATATATATAAAGATTTCAACTTCTAAGTTATCATTCACATTACTGAAGCTTACATAACAACATTTCCTTGATTCTAGGCATTCCTGCAGATTGTAACACCATTTATAACAGAGGTGAACACAGAAGCGGTGTGTATGCCATTAGACCCACCGACTCTCAAGTTTTTAATGTCTACTGTGATATAAAATCAGGTAAAATCCGCCTAAAAAGAGAAATGGACAGTGCTTAGGTTCAAGCTACCACTTATTAGCAGATTCCACCCATTATCTCTCTTCTGAATATGCTCATTCCACCATATCTATGAATTCCACACGCATGGATTTAACAAACAATGGATCGCAGATATTTAGGGAAAAAATTGCATTGTATAAAACTAGACTATTTTCTTGTCATTACTCTCTAAACAAAATGGTACATGACTGTTTGCATAGCATTTCCACTGCATTGTTATGATAAATAGTCAAGAGATGATTTAAAGTACACAGAAGGATCTGAGTAGGTTATATGCAAATACTATGCCATTTTGTATCAAGGTCTTAGGCTTTTGCACATTTCTGTATCAGCAAAGGGTACTGGAACCAAACATCCATAGGTACTGAAGAACTACTGTATATTTAAAATGAAATATATATAGCATGAATATAAATCTAATATTCATATTTTTCTTATTCATTAATTTTATTATGTGAAATTCCCCATCTCTGTCATAAAATAATCTCAAGTGACCTGTTAATAAGTTTACTAAGACAAAATTCAATAGTTTCCCTTTACTTAGTCTTTGGGGACCATAATAAATGTATGACCATAAAATTAATAAACTATCTTCTAAAGACACCAATTAAAACCAAGCCAAAAAGACAGCATTTTTTACATCTCTCAAAATCAAGCTACTAAAAGTCCACAACTTCATTTTGTTATATGCAGGTAGGCCATGGACACTAATTCAACACCGAATAGATGGAGCACAAAACTTCAATGAAACTTGGGAGAACTACAAACATGGTTTTGGAAAGCTTGATGGTATGGTAACTATTCATTCATCACTTTTTAATCTAACAATATTTTAAAATACTTACAAGGGATTGTAACACAAATATCTATTATGGACTGGGCACTGCATCAATGAACAAGAACCACTTTCAGCCTTCATAAAACTTATTAACAAATAATTACACATTTGTTAGTAATTACACCTATTGTAATTGTCATTTGAATTTTACTTATCATAATTACATGTCATCCTAATTAGACTTATCACAATTTAATTCAAAGACATAATTATCATAATTATAATTATTAAAGATAATCTTGATTAAGTAATATGTGCTATGAATAAGCTATGGGGAAAACCATCCCTAGCACCCTATTCCCTTATTGTATTGACATTTTAAATATCAGTCAATTAGAGGTTAGAAGGGATAAGAAAACTGTCAGATATGCAGTCCAAATTTATAAGTTCCAATAATTTAAATATTATAAATGTATATTATAGAATGTGTTGTTTAAAATTAATTACTCAATGCAAAGTTTAATAAAAAAAAACTAAAAAGCACATTACAAAAATCTATGTTGTACAAATACTTATTTGCAAAGTCAAAAATATCCATTATTATACCAAAGTTTTTACCACTAAGTATTATTTGACCATTTAAAAAATTCTTTATTCCAATTATGATAGTTAGAATGCATATTTCAATGAAAAGGTTTTTTTTTTAAGATTTTATTCATTTATTTGTGAGGCAAAATTATAGACAGTGGGAGATATAGAGAAAGGTCTTCCATCTTCTGGTTCATTCCCCAAATAGCCTTAACAGCCAGAGCTAGGCTGATCCAAAGCCAGGAGCTTCTTCCAGGTTTGCCACATGGGTGCAGGGGCCCAATCATTTGGGCCATTTTCCACTGCTTTTCCAGGCCATAAACAGAGAGTTGGATAAGAAGAGGAGCAGGGGCCGGCGCTGTGGCAAAGAGGGTAAGGCTGCCACCTGCAGTGCCACATGGGTGTTGGTTGGAAACCTGGCTGTTCCACCTCCGATCCAAGCTCTCTGCTATGGCCTGGGAAAGCAGTGGAAGATGGCCCAAGTGTTTGGGCCCCTGCACCCACATGGGAGACCTGGAGGAAGCTCCTGGCTTCACATAGGCGCAGCTCCAGCTGTTGGGGCCACTGGGGAGTGAACCAGCAGATGGAAGACCTCTCTCTCTCTCTCTGTGTAGCTCTGACTTTCAAATAAATAAATAAATCTTAAAAAAAAAAAAAAAAAAAAAGGCGAGCAGCTGGGACACAAACCAGCACCCATATGGGATGCCAGTGCCACAGGTAAAATCTCAGCCTACTACACCACAGCAACAGCCCCTCAGTGATATGTTTGGTTTTTTTTTGTTTTTTGGTTTTTTTTTGTTTTTGACAGGCAGAGTGGACAGTGAGAGAGAGAGACAGAGAGAAAGGTCTTCCTTTTTGCCGTTGGTTCACCCTCCAATGGCTGCCGCGGCCAGCGCACTGCGGCCGGCGCACCGCGCTGATCCAATGGCAGGAGCCAGGTACTTATCCTGGTCTCCCATGGGGTGCAGGGCCCAAGCACCTGGGCCATCCTCCACTGCACTCCCGGGCCACAGCTGAGAGCTGGCCTGGAAGAGGGGCAACCGGGACAGAATCCGGCACCCTGACCAGGACTAGAACCCGGTGTGCTGGAGCCGCAAGGCGGAGGATTAGCCTGGTGAGCCACGGCGCCAGCCAGTGACATGTTTTATAGCTCCCAATCTTTTCCTAACAGTGACTGTAACTCAAAAATAAAAGACTGACAGCTAAGTCCAGAACACTCAATTATTCGATGATGAAAATAAAACCCCAGGAACAGGCATTTGGCCTAGCAGGTTAATACACCTGCATCCCCTATGAAGTGCCTGCATTCAAGTCTCATTTCCATTCCTGATTCCAGCTTCCTGCTAACGCATACCCTAGGAGGCAGCAGTGAATGCTCAGGTGGTTGGGTTCCTGCCACCAAAGTGTGGGACCTGGATTTAGTTCCTGACTACTGGCTTGGGTCTGCCAAGCCCAAGCCAATGCAGGAATCTGGGGGGTGAACTAGTGGACAGAATTCTTGTCTGTCTGTCTGTCTGTCTCTCTGTCCCTCTACCTCTCAAATAAATAAATAAATATTTTTAAAAAGTAAAGCAACACTTTTGTATTCATATTTACTAGCTATCCTTAAAATGAAGCCTCCTACTAACTCAATAAGGAAATACTGACTTCTATTTTCATTAAGTATTTTAATAAAAAGGATAATAATAAATAACTATCTGCAATTATACTATGATTTCAATTCCCAACATAATTTCTAAATGACAGAGAAAGGTTATTAAGAATCATGTTAATTAAAATTTTTTAGAATTTACTTCCTTATTTTTGCACAAAAAATAAATGTATAAAGCAAACACCAAAAGTCAAGTTTAAATTCGAAGAAAGTGACAGCGTTACCATCTAAATCTATGAGAGTATCTAATGTCTCTTGATTATAAATGGGTATTAATAAATAGATAATAGTAAAGCTAGCATATATAAAGCTATTTAGGGATTAGACATTATTCTACCAGTGATCAGACCTAATTATCTATAATGGTATGTTTCACATGTGAAACATGTCTTGTAATATGTTTGAGAAAGGATTATCAGATTTTAAGCAGGTCTATTAATATTATTAACATTTTGTGCATACGACTATGTTCAATAAAATTATTTTAAAAAGAAATATTTTCAGGACCAGCACTGTGGCATAGCAGGTAAAGCCGCCGCCTGCAGTCCCAGCATCCCATATGGGCACCGGTTCGAGTCCTGGTTGCTCCACTTCTGATACAGCTCTCTGCTATGGCCTAGGAAAGCACTAGAAGATGGCCCAAGTCCTTAGGCCTCTGCACCCGCGTGGGAGACCCGGAGGAAGCTCCTGGCTCCTGGCTTCAGATTGGCATAGCCCTGGCTGTTGCAGCCAATTAAGGAGTGAACCAGAGGATGGAAAACCTCTCTCTCTCTTCCTCTCTCTCTGCCTCTCCCCTTTATCTCTGTGTAATTCTTTCAAATAAATTAATTAATTAAAAAAAAGAAATATTTTCAGAAACTCTAAGCTGAGAAGGGATTCAAGACTAAAATAACTTATTTACTTACACTAATAAAAAAACACTGCTTAAAAATTGTCAGTTTCCAATCTGTAGTTAATCTACAGGTTTTTAAATATTTTTCTTTTCAGGAGAATTCTGGTTGGGCCTAGAGAAGATCAGTGCCATAGTGAAGCAATCCACTTATATTTTACGAATTGAGCTAGAAGACTGGAAAGACAACATGCATTATATAGAATATTCTTTCCACTTGGGAAATCATGAAAGCAACTACACAGTGCACCTCGCTCAGATTTCTGGCAATGTTCCCACAGCACTCCCAGAGCATAAAGATTTGGTGTTTTCTACATGGGATCATAAAGCAAAAACACACCTCAATTGTCCAGAAAGCTATTCAGGTATGCTTTTACTAACAGTACTTTATTTTCACCTCTTTAGAATATCTTCCTATATTATTAGTTGTTATCTACAATGTCAACCCCTTAAAATTCCAATCTCAAATAAGCATTTTCTCTACACACAAACCTCTGTTAATTCTAGTTCAACTAAGCATTGTATTTTACCTCTAATCCTCTTCAGCTTTCTAGCTTTCATAGAATGCATGAAACTTACACATATATTTAAAATTAGGATACATGGATTTACAACACTATGATATAAGAAATGAGACATATTCATAAGGAAATAAAATAACAGCAACTTCCCACAAATTTATATCCTTTAAATTGCATGGTTATCTTCTTCAGGAGGCTGGTGGTGGAATGAAGAATGTGGAGAAAGCAACCTAAATGGTAAATATCACAAACCAAGAACAAAATCTAAATCTGAGAGGAGAAGAGGGATATGCTGGAAGTCTCAAAATGGAATGTTATACTCCATCAAATCAACCAAAATGCTGATCCATCCAAAAGATTCAGAAAGCTTCGAATGAACAGAGACCAATTAAAAGGTCAATAAATCAAACATTAAACTCATTGCAAGTTACTGTCATTTAATAATCTGATATTAAATTCTTTGGAGAAAGCCTGAGAAATATTTTTTCATCTTACAAGTCAATATCAACTTTAGAATGGGTATAAAATATCACCTAAAAGAATACCATTTGCCTTTCTTATTTAAAGTTCTTACTACAGTTTCATTTTGTTCATATATTTTGTACTGTGGGATTCAATCTTAGATGGTTACAATTGAATTATAACCAATAGGTGATTTTTTAAATAACCAAATTAAAAAAAACTTTTGTTTTAAAAGTCATCAAGTAGGCTAATTTAAAAACTTACTCACTTAAAAAAAGCAGTTTCCTTGTTAAAATTCTAACTTCGAATAAACACAAAAGACTGAACATTTTAAATGCTTCAATATTAATTTTAAAGCTAAAATTCAATCAGTTCAGAGTATATGCAAAAATCTATAATTGTGGGGAGCAGCTCGGACTAGACTAAGTTACTGGAATTAAGACTTATTCTATGCATCTGCTCTCCTCTGTGGGGAGCAGCTCGGACTAGACTGTTACTGGAATTAAGACTTATTCTATGCATCTGCTCTCCCACAATATGGCGCCGGGAGAGAAGTAAACAGCTTCCGTACAGCTGCCTCCAGTTCAGCCAATTAACTGTAGGACTTGCTCCTGATTGGAGAGCAGCGTACTCGGCGTGTGGGCAGCCGAGTTGGGATTGGCGGAGGAGGACTATAAAGGAGGAGAGAGACGGCATGCACCAGGAACATCTATGGGGAACATCTAGCTGAAGGAACACCTGTGCAGCCCCCCGAGACGAGCCGGCCGGCGGTGTGCCGCTCCCCTGCGGAAGTGGGGAATGCGGCCAGGGGGAACTGCCCTTCCACGGAGGTGGAAGGGATAGTAGCCAACCCGGGAAGAACCAGCAGCAAACCCGGGGAGGGCCGAGCAGACAGAAAGAACAGCGCAGGGTCCTGTGTTGCTCCTCCACGAAGAGGGGGAGCGACATATAATATGAATTTTTTAAAACTGACTCTTCATTTTACCACAAAATAACTTGGAATAAATGTCTGATATGGTTTAGTCATGAAATTAAATGAAGTAGGCTGAAATACTGTATTAAAATAGGCTCAATGTCTTTTAAATAAATCTAGTACCTCATGACTACTAAGTCATTTTGACTTTAATATCACCTATCACTGTACATTAACATATTTGTTAACTTATCTATACTGTGTGCATTTTATATATTTTAACACTTAATACTGTGAAAACAAATAGTATTAAAGAGATATTGTCAGAAAACAGTAACAATGAATGTATTTGATGCATTAAGTTAAAGTTTAACATTAACTTATTCTTCCTGACATGCTGTGAGTCAAATACTTTTGTGTAGGTTTTTGAATAGAATTAAAATTCATAACAGGTTATTGAATGTTTAAAAAGCCTGACAGGCAACTGTATATATTTAAAATTCAATAAAGATTCAGTCCCTAAATATCAAAAATTTTAATTCTTATAGTTCTGTTGCTGGCATCACAGTAGATAAATGATTGTTACTTCTAATTTAAATAATTTAAACTCTAAATTCCCAAGATTAGATATAAATTTTTGCCATAATATCTCTTGTCATACTTATTTCTCAGTAAGCTTAAAAATTATCAGTAAGTTCTAATTTTCAGGAACACAGCCTAAGCAAAAATTTATACTGATGTTTTTAGAATCAGAATGCCAAAATGGCTTTTTTCAAAAAAACAGATTTCAAATGCAGAAGTCATTTAATATACCACTTCTTCCTGTTTTCTTTTTTTTCCTCCACCCTCACATGTTTAATTTTGTTCCTTTTAGGAATACTAAACTGGATTTTTCCCAATATAAAACTCAGACTGAGAGAGAATTCTGGCAGAAAAAAAGTTTTTTCTTTATGGGTTCACAAAAATTGTGTCATGTCCCCACTACTGGGTTTAAAGCAAATTTCAACACTCACAGTTGTCTAATCTAATGGCCTTTTCTCAGTCTATCTGCCCTTTGATCTTTCACTACTAATTTATACTCTCCATGGATTATCCTTTACCTGGATCCATTTTATAATCTATTCCTTCCTTGTTTTGGGTATGTGGGCCAGTGCACAACCATAGCTCATTTTTTTTTCTACTTTGATCCCCAGGTTTTCTAACTACCCTCATGGACTCATCTATGTTCCATGACAAAACTTTTGAAAACTACATATTCATGACAGGTCTCTTTCTCTCTTCTATATCCTATAGGCCCCTAAAATTCAACATCGCATCATCGTAACAAATCCATCAACCCTGTAGTATCTCTGCTGTCCCTTTTGACTTTCTCCCTCCCTTTATATCTTTCACATTCTTTCCTAACATTCTTCTATGGCTCCCAGTCATGGAAGCCTGTAAGACATCTCTCCTGTTGTACTTTGTTAACTACCTCTCCTATATCAAAAGCCACGTTCACTAGTCTTCTTTTGAAACGTCTCTTAATCCGATAAACTTTCTTCCCAGTGATTGCCTTTGAGTCCCTGATTATCTAGTGAGTCTCCTCTAGCTTCCTCTCGGTCCTCTTAAAATTTATAATGGTTGCATATCACTTTGACTTGTGTCTTTAACACTTGTTCAGTGGAGAAGTGTAACAGCTGAAGATAAAAACATGTCCACATAAGTTCTGGAATTATAGGATGAATTGGCTTGCCATAAGCATAAATTTGTTTTAGAAATTTATTGGGATCTTATCTTAAATCTTAAAATATTTTCTTAAAATTGCATGTAAATTATATTTTATATTCTATCCACCTTCACACACACGAAAATTATCCTTTCCACCCCCAATCTTTAGAAGACTGATTTAGAAGATTTTTAGAAAAGTGATTTTCCTAGATGTGTCAAATTTACCCCGTGGACTTACATATCCCATATACTGTGCCTATCCCAATTAGAAAAGCACAGGCCTACAGAATAAAATTCAAATCCCTTCTGGGCATTCAGGGGCATCTACATTCTGACCCCAATTACCTTTTTTGCCCAACATAAACTCTCACTCTAATAAAAAAAATGACTGAGTTTTAAACATCACCTCTAACACTTTCCTAATGCACTGCATTACTCTAGAATGCCTCTTCATTTTCTGATTGCCTTGGGCCTACTTACACCTCATAATGCAGATCATCTCATTTCCTTGACAAATATCCTATAAAATGGTGGCCCCTTCCCCTCAAATTCTCTGGATCCCTTAAATGGCACTTAGCAAGCAAAGATATGACAGAAAAATAAATCTGAAACTATAGTAATAAAACTTTTGAAAAATAGTAACGAAAATCCCACCAGCATCAGAGATAGTAAATCTACCTTAATTTAGTGAATTATGAAATTCCTATGCCAACAGTTACTCTCAATTAGTATGAGTTTTTCTGAAACCAAATTTACACAGTTCCAATTTTAAGATTACTCAATGTAGTATAATAGTCACATACTGTCATACTAGAATCACCATGTTTTCATGCTTCTAACTTTTCTTCCTAACGGCATACCTCAGAGAAGTCAATTAATTCATTAATCAAAAATGTATTCCTTAGTATTCACTGAGCACCTATTCTTTTTACTCTTATAAAACCTATTACAAATTTATATTTTTAAATATTCTGTTTTAGGATAATCAAATTTCCATTTTTTGCCCATCATTAAATCATATGCATCCCATTTATTTATATATATATATGTATACACACACACACACAACTGATTATCCAACACAGTAGTTTTGAAAATTGAAAGGAAAGGCCGGTGCCACAGCTCACTAGGCTAACCCTCCACCTAGTGGCGCCGGCACACCAGGTTCTAGTCCCGGTCGGGGTACCGGATTCTGTCCCGGTTGCCCCTCTTACAGGCCAGCTCTCTGCTGTGGCCAGGGAGTGCAGTGGAGGATGGCCCAAGTGCTTGGGCCCTGCACCCCATGGGAGACCAGGAGAAGCACCTGGCTCCTGCCATCGAATCAGCGCAGTACGCCGGCCGCGGCGGCCATTGGAGGGTGAACCAACGGCAAAGGAAGACCTTTCTCTCTGTCTCTCTCTCTCACTATCCACTCTGCCTGTCAAAAAAAAAAAAAAAAAAAAAGAAGAAGAAAGAAAGGAAAGTAACCAAACAATGGGTCTTTCATCAAAGTCCAAAGTATTCTCATGGCAAATCCTCTAGAACAAGATTACTCAACTGGTGTGAAATGTGCAGTTCAAGGTCATTAAAGCAGAATTCACAATCTTCCTTTGTAAGATAAGGTTTCACTGACATTTTAGGAAATATAAAATATAATTAAGAATTCCATCTAAAATATAAAAGCTATTTTTCTAAATTCACATATTTAGAACCAAAAACAGTAATATATCTAATAATATGGTTAGGTATATGTGAAACAGTAATAGACTATAATCTTAAAGATGCTGAGTTGTAGCTGTCCATCTTCAAGTTAGCAACCAAGCCTGAGTTTCCACACCCATGTACGAGATTAATAACCCTGCCAAATCTACTTCCCTGAGTTATAATGATCAAGTCAGACACTATATTTGAATGGTTTTATAACCTATTTAGTTCTAAAAAACTGTATATACTTTTAAAAACTGGATCTTGGGTTTCACTCTTCCCATTCCTTTAGGTTTATAAACTGTATAAATGCTTCTTAACTAAACATATTCTAGCTTTCAGGAAAGGTGAACAAAACTGCACTTTTCACAGTCTGCTCCTGCTTCTGGAATTTCCTCCTTCTGCTAGGAGTCCAAAATAACACTGTCAGATGCAAACCCCTAATTAATAACTCCTGGGATGGCCGGCGCCACAGCTCAATAGGCTAATCCTCTGCCTGCTGCGCCGGCACTCCAGGTTCTAGTCTTGGTTGGGGTGCCGGATTCTGTCCTGGTTGCTCCTCTTCCAGTCCAGCTCTCTGCGGTGGCCCAGGAGTGCAGTGGAGGATGGCCCAAGTGCTTGGACCCTGCACCTGCATGGGAGACCAGGAGAGGCA